AAAGAAAGGGCCTAGAATTAGATCCATGCAGCGTGTAAAACTGGCCATGGCCGAAAGGCAGGACTTTAAATTGGTAGGATCTAGTACCATAGCGGAAACCGGTAAATCGGCGATGTTCTTTTTTATGGGGATTTGCCAATAACCGGAAGTTAAATACAAAGAACTAAAGAATTTTACCGGTCTTAAATCCCTAATTATATCATCTATAGAGCGGGGTACCTCGTTATCGTTTTCCATGACCGAGTTTAATCGTCTACCGTCAAAACATAACCTCACTGACCCATTTTTTTTTACTGTTGCCATCAAAGGGCTACAATATGGCATATTGGCCCTTTGAATTATTTCCCATTTTTTCATTAACGCAATTTCCTGGTCAACCGCAGCCCTATGTGCAAGTGGGATTGGGTATGGACGAACGGAAAAAGGAGTGGGATCCGATAAAACAATACAATGCTCATATTCTTGAGTTAAGCCCGGTTTGTCGGAAAAGATGTTTTGATGTTTCATTAAAATTTTTCTGAATTTGTCCTTATAATCAACTGCTATAGGACAATGCGCTATCAACTCATCTACCTCGGACACAAACACTTTCTCTTTGCTTTCTGAAGGTAAAGCATCAGCATGTCCATGATTAACCGCGCAAATCCTAATTCCAGAGACTTTGGTACATGCAAATTCGTGCCTTGGGTGTATTTCCGGTATGGACATGGTTTTATTATTACCGTTAAGGATAATTATTTCCTCCTGCAAATTTACACTTGCATTATATTGTCTTAAGAAGTCAATTCCTATTATAACTGGATATACCAGTTCCCTAACACACAAAAACTCAAAAAGATAATTAAATCCATTTAGTGCAAAAGGCAAATTAATTTATTTAATAACTCTTTTTTGACGAGCCTTAAAAGCTCGCGTAATACGTATACCACTAACATTAAATGTTGTCAATTCTGGCATACTCTCAATAATCTGTTGATAACTATCATATGCCAGGCAACAAATCTCACTTCAAAGCAGGAAAATGCATGTGTCTAATATTACAGCTTAGAATAGGAGATCTAGCCATATTATTTGTGTGGTTAAAGTCGCAATCTGGAGTAAGGTCAAAATCAGGTTTAAGATTGTCAAAATTTGGGAAACTATTTTTAGTCCGGTTTTGAATAACATCCACCCCTGGACTAATTGGGTGGTGCTTTTTTAGTTTTCCTGGGAAAAATCTTCTTCCTCAGGGAAACCAACTGTTGCCACTTTAGGGGCAAACTTATTTTTGGGCACAAATTTATTTATATTGGGACCTACGCTATTTATTGTTTGATAAGGGTGCGGCATAAGTACATAATCCGCCTGCCTTAAACGTAATTTATTTATAGTCTGGGTACAAATCAATGAGGTGGCAATTTGTGGCACAAAATGTTTTGCAATGACAGTAACTAAAAGGTTTTCTGGATATGGAGGTTCAAGATACCTTGCCTTTGCTATTAGTGACAAAAAATAATTTGTTAACATACAATCTACGTTCTTATTGCACCTTCCAGTCTGAAGTTGCATCCTAACCTTAAACTGCTTTTTTGGTCCCCAAAAATATTCTTTTTAATGAGAAGAAATCCAAAAATGTGTCCAACATGGCATCGGCCCACACTCTGGCAGCTCCTTGAAACAACGACAGGCACCAGTGAGAAACTAGAGAAAAAGGAACATTGTTAATAAGAATAACTTTTTCAAGCCTATTTATAAAACAAAAACAATTGTGTCATACTTACAACAGGTCAATAGGATACAAAATATTACTAATTTATAATTAATAACCAGGATGTTAGCCTTGTACGCTTAACCGTTGACAATTCAAAAATGGTCGGTCGTGCAAAAACACCACCAGAGGGCGGCCAACTCTTGGACTCGCGCGCGGGAGCTTTAAATCTTGTTACAACATATTATCCATAATTATTTATAATAAATATTTAAATAGCAAAAACACATTTACTTTTTTATTAGGTTTTACTAGTTTTGTAATTTGTGGTCCTCGTACTCGCCAAGGGCGTCTAGGCGAAATAAGAGCATGAAAGCAGAGTCTAATTAAAAATAATTTACTTTTCCGCAATAAAAAATATATTTTTTACTGAAAAATTAAAAAAGCCTATTTTAGGCTCATAAAAATGTCTTTTTAGGACAATAAATAAAAATTTCGCCATTTTAGGCTTTTAAGCAAAAACAAAGGGGTGTCAAACGCTTTATTTTTTTAAGTTTAGGAATAATTTCAAGGTCCCAAACTAATGCCTAAAATAGAAATAAAAAGGCATTTTGCCTAAAATCCGGTCCTTAATAATAACCGTTCACATGCATGTAAATTGAACAGTACACAATATTTTATAAAAAAAATAGCAAAATAAAAAAACTTACATGACAGGGCGAGCAGCGGCAAACACACCGCAAATTGACTTGCTTTTAATCAAGTCGATAACAACTGACCGGAAATGTGTCTGGCACTAAGACTGTCGGTAGGCGGAGACAATAACATAAACAAGGAAACCATAGACGTACAATATCACAAAGCTTATTATATTTTAGTTATAAGAAAAAATGTAAATGTATAATATACAATACCGAAATAATCTATTTTCTTAATTTGCCAACATTTAGTTCAGACATTTTTTGATTATATTACTTTATTCCAATTCCAAATCAATTATTTCAAACTATTATCCCTTTAAGTAAATTTATTTTTAAGTCTGAGTCTGACACAGTACCTTTGGTGGATACCTGTGACAAAATCAATAATCACCACCTCTGCTTGAGAAATTTAAGAAACTATATCGTTTCATGTGAAATCGATATCATAGAAAACAATGACGTCTCCAAATGCACCTACATAAAAATTACTAGAATACATTCCAGAAATTAACCAATTTTTAGGAATATTTCCAAACGAAATCTCATATAAATCCAGTTGTAAAACTAATATAATAACGAAAAAGATCCAAGGAATTTTTCTGTTAAAAAATGAAAATGACTGCCACATATATGTGGACGACAATCTTTTATTTTTAAACGTTAGTACCAGAGGTCAACCACTACTATTAGAAGCCGAAGTTCAATCCGAAAATCATCATCACGTAACCTCCAATTAATGGAACCGGAAACCCAAACAACTCCACGTGGAAGAATCCGAGCTGTCCTCTTTCGACGTTGCTGATATCAAAGTTTAACCTTCACCGAAGTCTCAGGACTACCATGGCGAAATTATGTTAAAGAATTTCCATGAATATGCTGACTAAACCCAACCTGCAGACTCAGCTTACAAACTTATTTAAAACACTCTTTGATTCACTGTAAAACTATAAACAAAAAAATAATTTTTTAAAACTGGTTTGTGATTTTCGAAAATATTTAATATTTATATTTAAATATTTTATTTAATGTTTATATTCAATTTAAAATACCGATGTGGCCCTTTTGTCCCTCCATTTCATTTTCTTCTATGTTTAATTGTATATTTCTGGGCCCAAAAATAAATCGAGTGTAAATTTCCTATCAGAAAAAAAGTCCCCTCTACCTTGTTTAGCCCTTTACCCAAAACCAACTGTTTCTATTTATAAGAGCAAGCACATAATTTAAAAATTTAAAAGCAGAAAATAAGTTGAACAACAATTAAAAATTCTTCAAAGTATTTAAAAAATAAGATAAATATTTTTTAAACACAATTTTTGTTTTATTTTATAATTCATATTATTTATTTAATAGTATTTTTTTAAATTATTTAGGTAATATATTAAAAAGTAAACATTTATGTTTTTTTAATTTAAAAAAATAAATCAATAAATATTTTTACCCAAGTTCAATGCTAAATCAGTTGATATAATAATACGTCGTCAATAGCACTTGTACCTCGAAGCCGCTCAAGGATATTGTCCAAGAAAAAGAGCAGTGTAAAGCAGGGTCAGGAACTTTGACGGTCAAGGAAATAGCCATATGGTCATTAGTACACGTGTCCGAGGTGATCAGCGATTCAGAAGCCAGGCCCAGCAAGACGGCAGAGCAGAGGGTTATGTCAATATTGCTTTCTCCCAACGGGGAGCTGTACGTGGTCAAATCCGATGGAGCGTTCAGTATATGTAAATTATTTTCGAGAGCAAAGTTTTACACAATGTCTTCGCGATGGTTCAGCTGGTCGGAAAACCAAACCGGGTTTTTAGCGTTGGAATCCATGCCAATTAGCACAGGAAGATCTATTTCACTCATATTGTTAGTGATGCGCTCCATCAGTTCGCAGCGCTTCCCTCTGGGGGGACAATACACGCTGAAAATGGCGAAGGACAGGTCACCACACTCGAGAATAGCGGAAACCACTAGATCAGAGTTGATATTTGCGGTAGGAAGTACATGTAAAAGTTGGTTAAGCACCACGATAACGACCTAAAAGACTGACCGGAGTTTGAGATAGTTCTGAAATGGTTAATGTTAGGAATAACAAATTTGTTTGAGTTTCTAGAGTAAATGCAATATGGCTCTTGAATAAGAGCCACATCCTTGTCTTTAATAAAAGGAGAGTTGAAGAAAGATTGGGTAGCCAGCATAGAGTGATGAAGATTTATGTGACAGATTTTTAAACTCTTAATTTTGAGGCCCGTAGTCGGTATCGTCAATTAGGGCCTTCACTCTCCTTGCATAAGACACGCACTTCTCAGAGCCGGGTACGTGCCACTCAAACCCTTAAAATTAGAGCATGATGCACATTTCAATTTAGCAGAAACCTCTCTTTTCGGGCAGTCCTTCATGTCGTGCAACCCCGCGCAGTGGCCACACTTATAAGCATTTGTAACAAATGGTGATTCTGGTCCTGTCCTACAATTCTGCCAGCCAATGCCTGAGAATTTTAAGGAAAGTAATGATAGCCTGACGGCCGGTGTGACCTCAACGGCCCAGTGGACCAGCCTCTGTCCTCTCGGGCCAAACTTGTGAATTGGATTAATATCCGCAACATTCTTAGAGTCAACGTTGTTTTGTTAAATAATAGACCTGGCTAATTCCTCGCTCGTCAAAGTCGATGGGACACCAAAAATTGATAATCGAGGCAATTTCTTTTTAAATGAAGAAGCTTTCAGCTTTAGAGCAGACCACTCGGGAAGGTCGAGTAATTTACTGATTAGAATCATGCGATTATTTTTAGATTTATAAATTTTTGACATCTCGAAGCCTATGGTGGCCGGGTTGATCCTGGCTAGAACGCTGTTCTTGACAGTCTCCGAAGACTCGAATTCGGCAGGATTAATTCGGGAGATCTCTATCTTATGTATAGGTCTGGCAGTGATAGACTTATTGCCAGTTGTCTTAACTTTGATATTGCCAATAGTGGCACAGGCGTATGACACCAGGTTAGCAACAGAGACGGTAGGAGGGAACGCAGAGGCCGCCTGTCCAGACGACCTCTTGAAGATTTTTTTGATATAGGAATTAACGCTCTTGAAGAGGGTCTGGGTGCACTCGGCGCCTTCTGCGACTTCCTTAAATTGACACAGTCATTTTTTAGTTGCTCAAAAATTTTTGTGAATTGGCAAATGGTATCTTCCTTTTTCGCCTTCTTTCCAGAACCAGAATTAAGATAGTCTCTCGGCGAAGACTCTTTGCCCAACTCGCACACTTTAACCATAGCAGACAAAATTGATAACAGAACTAAAATTATAGTATTCGCAATCTTATTGTGTCTTCCAGCAATATTTGCATAAGTCTCACTATTCATTAAATTTGTAGCGACATTTAAGGGTTTTAAAATTCGTAGAATAGCTTCTAAAAATGCCCAATTACATAGTGGCAAGGATAACTTTGTCTACATTTCCAAAGATATTACTAATCTTTTATTCAGTACTAATTCAATAGCAGGACGTTGCTCTATTACTAGTTCTATCATAGCATATGCAGAATTCCATCGGGTCACACAATAAGTTATCAATCGATGGGTTGGTAGTTCAAGTTCATTTTGAGCAGTCGTCAGAGCTTTAGTTGCAATATTAGAGTGCTTAAAATGTCCTACAATGGCGCTAACTTTATGGATACAATCATTTATATTTTTTCCTTTTAAAGCTATAGCGATAGCACATTGTTATGTATGAGAAAAACAACTAACACTTTGCAAATTTGACATTTTCTGGAAAATTAAGGTGTATGTAGCAACCATGTTATTATTATTATCATGAAGTACACCAACGACTTTTTTAAAAATCTTCCATTCCATGGACGTTTATGTATATTAATTTTTGTATGACTTTCAGGCATTTCCAAAGTCTCCAAATTAAAAGAACGTAAGCTATATAAATCATTAATCGCATGAACAGTAATTGTTATAAATGATTTAGTTGAAAGTGATGACCAAGTTATGGATACGAAAGGAAACATTTTTAAGACAGAAACTATTCCTCCTTTTACATAATCATGCATAATGTTTAAACGATTTTGAAGCACTGTTATACTTGGTATTGTATACTCTGGACAAACTGTTTTTATAAATTGTATAAAACCATCACCCTCCGCAAAAGACATTTCAAATTTAGGATTCTACAAGAAATTTATATTATCAGAATTTATATTCCATATTTCAGATTAATACTTATTTATTTACTGTAAAATTTTTTATAAAATAATTCAGTGAGACGAGGTAATAAAAAGTTCTTAAATTTAAAAGAACTTAAAAATGTGTTTTCTTTCTTTAAAATGTACTTTTCTTATTAAATATGAACTTTAAGTAATTTAATTAATTTTAGTGAAATAAGTATATAATAATTATAAATTCATTTTTATTTTTTCAACTCTGGTCTCATCTAAACTTTATTGTAATTTTTCAGAGTAAATTTTGAAATAAAATTGATATTATGTTTTTTTGAATACTCCCATTATGACCCCACATTTATATTTCACTATATAATTCACAACATATACAAATATTTTGAGAATTTTAAATTATGTACTTTTTGAAAAAAACTTTAAAAAATTAAATCAAAATTTATATATACATTTTGCACAAAATCTTTTTAATAATATCCAGCATTTAAAATGCTGCAAAATGACACCTCTCCCAGCTTTCTAGCTGAATTAGGACAGCTTCCAGAACAATTTAAAAAATACACATTCACACTTTTTTCGCGAGTTTTTGAAAACTTTACATAGCCATATATCGGAAACGGTGTGAGATAAAAATGTAAAAATTGGTATTTTCTTAGTCTTAGTACATACTACAAGTATACCAAATTTTAAGAAAATCTGAGGTGATGTGGTAAAATGGGTGTGTTAAGTTGACATGGACTGACCGTGTATCGTTCTAGAGCCATTACCTTAATTGGATCATTGATATTTCGTAAGTCTGTAACTTTTAGGATTTTATTTATATTGTTTGTCCAAACAAGTGAAACGTTAAAAACTTTTGTACAAAACTTAAGTTTAGGTTATGCTTTTTGCAAGAAAAATTAAGAGGAATAAATTCATTGATCCTTTCCCCTAATTTTTTTTTCAAATCGTTTTTATATGCCATTTTTGGCAAAAAGTAATGAACAACTTCGTTGCACATTCCAAATATTTTCGTAAAATTGGTATTAGGTCGCAAATAATAATAATAATAAGGCCATGCTCCTTTTCCGACTTGGTTGTTGTTAGTTCTTCTTTACAACAAATACACTGCCCTATTTTTTTTTAACAATTTTCTTGCCATGTATCCTGCAATGTAAGAGAGAGTTTGTTTATTTATTTCATTGATGTTTGTTGAAAATTAAAAAAGTTCTTTAGTAAACATTTGTGCTGTTTATAAAGAAACAGTAGGCTCTACAGTTTCATTGCAGGATATAAAATTCTTTAAAGAATTAAGTGTTCCTTCACTTTCATCCTCCTCGCAATTTGCACCTGGAGAGTGCGAAGACACAAAATTGCTTTTAAAGGAAGCAGTGAAGGAGATGGGCGTAGAATTAATATTCCTTACTCCGTGTCTTCTTATACAGCCAAAGAAATTTTTACCAGGATCTTGGTTTAAATTTCTTGTGCAACAAAATTCAAACTTCTTTCTGTTAAGATTTCTCCAGATGGATATTTAAAGCCACGAAGTGTTGTTATCCAATTTTTTACTGTTGGGGGACAAAATCCTTTCCTTTTCTCTGGAACTTGATGGTTTTAAGGACACCAATGGCTTTATCCCAAAATGCAACATGTGGGAAAGATTTTGTCACTGCACGTTTTAGCATTTTACTATGTTCTGGCTTCATTAGTGATCCATAACGCTATCAAAAAGCTTGTCCATAAATACTACAAAATTTGCAGTCCGTAATGCATTCTGTAAAAAGAATTCATTTCCAGCAATAAATAAAAAGTTTATATTAAATTTAAGCTAAAATAAGGGTTGATTTGTTATTTTTACATAACTTATAATAATAATTATTATTATTATAAGGCTTAATTTTGTTATTTTTACATAACTTATTAAATAACTTACCATATTTTACAAGTCCCCTCATAGTCGAAGATACTCTATGCGAGAATACTTGTGCTGCATGTTTTACCTTCATTTTCTTTATTTTGTCTTTGTAGATGTGGGCATATGTTAATTTATTTAACATTCTTGTGTCAAAGTCGCCCACATCTAATTTATAAGGACTTTGAACATGGTCCCATAATGCAGTTTGTGTTCCCACGTCTTTTTACGTAAACGTCATATTATATTCGCTCAAGTTGTTCCTTATTCCCTTGAGTAAATGGGGGCAGTCATAAAAAAATAACCCCACTCCCTTCAATCTCAAAATCCAAACATCTATTTTCTCTTCCTGAGAGATGGTATTTTCTTTCAGTTTCATCCTTCAGCATTTTTATAGCCGTTGAGTTGATGGCTAGTTGGTCACACATAGTGGCAACAACTGTCAATCCAATCTCATGAAGTTATCGTATTACTTTCTTTAAATTCCTACAAAATTTGCAGTTCGTAATGCATTATGTAAAAAAAAATTCATTTCCAGCAATAAATAAAAATTTTATATTAAATTTAAGCTAAAACAAGGGCTGATTTGTTATTTTTACATAACTTATAATAATAATTATTATTATTATAAGGGATAATTTCGTTATTTTTACATAACTTATTAAATAACTTACCATATTTTACAAGTCTCCTCATAGTCGAAGATACTGTATGTGAGAATACTTGTGCAGCATGTTTTACCTTCATTTTCTTTATTTTGTCTTTGTAGATGTGGGCATATGTTAATTTATTTAACATTCTTGTGTCAAAGTCGCCCACATCTACTTCATAAAGACTTTGAACATGGTCCCATGATGCAGTTTATGTTCCCACCTCTTTCCACGTAAATGTCAAATTATATTCGCTCAAGTTGTTCCTTATTCCCTTAAGTAAATGGGGGCAGTCATAAAAAAACAACCCCACTCCCTTCAATCTCAAAATCCAAACATCTATTTTCTCTTCCTGAGAGATGGTATTTTCTGTCAGTTTTATCCTTCAGCATTTTTATAGCCGTTGAGCTGATGGCTAGTTGGTCACACACAGTGGCAACAACTGTCAATCCAATCTCATGAAGTTATCGTATTACTTCCTTTAAATTCCTACAAAATTTGCAGTCCGTAATGCATTATGTAAAAAGAATTCATTTCCAGCAATAAATAAAAAGTTTATATTAAATTTAAGCTAAAATAAGGGCTGATTTGTTATTTTTACATAACTTATAATAATAATTATTATTATTATAAGGGTTAATTTCGTTATTTTTACATAACTTATTAAATAACTATGTGAGAATACTTGTGCTGCATGTTTTACCTTCATTTTCTTTATTATGTCTTTGTAGATGTGGGCATATGTTAATTTATTTAACACTCTTGTGTCAAAGTCGCCCACATCTAATTCATAAAGACTTTGAACATGGTCTCATGATGCAGTTTGTGTTCCCACCTCTTTCCACGTAAACGTCATATTATATTCGCTCAAGTTGTTCCTTATTCCCTTGAGTAAATGAGGGCAGTCATAAAAAAAACAACCCCACTCCCTTCAATCTCAAAATCCAAACATCTATTTTCTCTTTCTGAGAGATGGTATTTTCTGTCAGTTTCATCCTTCAGCATTTTTATAGCCTTTGAGTTGATGGCTAGTTGGTCACACACAGTGGCAACAACTGTCAATACAATCTCATGAAGTTATCGTATTACTTCCTTTAAATTCCTACAAAATTTGCAGTCCGTAATGCATTCTGTAAAAAGAATTCATTTCCAGCAATAAATAAATAGTTTATATTAAATTTAAGCTAAAATAAGGGTTGATTTGTTATTTTTACATAACTTATAATAATTATTATTATTATTATAAGGGTTAATTTTGTTATTTTTACATAACTTATTAAATAACTTACCATATTTTACAAGTCCCCTCATAGTCGAAGATACTCTATGTGAGAATACTTGTGCTGCATGTGTTACCTTCATTTTCTTTATTTTGTCTTTGTAGATTTGGGCATATGTTAATTTATTTAACATTCTTGTGTCAAAGTCGCCCACATCTAATTCATAAAGACTTTAAACATGGTCCCATGATGCAGTTTGTGTTCCCACCCCTTTCCACGTAAACGTCATACTATATTCGCTCAAGTTGTTCCTTATTCCCTTGAGTAAATGGGGGCAGTCATAAAAAAACAACCCTACTCCCTTCAATCTCAAAATCCAAACATCTATTTTCTCTTCCTGAGAGATGGTATTTTCTGTCAGTTTCATCCTTCAGCATTTTTATAGCCGAGAGTTGATAGACAGTTGGTCACACACAGTGGCAACAACTGTCAATCCAATCTCATAAAGTTATCGTATTACTTCCTTTAAATTCCTACAAAATTTGCAATCCGTAATGCATTTTGTAAAAAGAATACATTTTCAGCAATAAAAAAAAGTTTATATTAAATTTAAGCTAAAATAAGGTCTGATTTGTTATTTTTACATAACTTATAGTAATAATAATTATTATTATAAGGGTTAATTTTGTTATTTTTACATAACTTATTAAATAACTTACCATATTTTACAAATCCCCTCATAGTCGAAGATACTCTATGTGAGAATACTTGTGGTGCATGTTTTACCTTCATTTTCTTTATTTTGTCTTTGTAGATCTGGGCATATGTTAATTTATTTAACATTCTTGTGTCAAAGTCGCCCACATCTAAGTCATAAAGACTTTGAACATGGTCCCATGATGCAGTTCCCACCTCTTTTCACGTAAACGTCATATTATATTCGCTCAAGTTGTTCCTTATTCCCTTGAGTAAATGGGGGCAGTCATAAAAAAAACAACCCCACTCCCTTCAATCTCAAAATCCAAACATCTATTTTATCTTCCTGAGAGATGGTAGTTTCATCCTTCAGCATTTTTATAGCCGTTGAGTTGATGGACAGTTGGTCACACACAGTGGCAACAACTGTCAATCTCATGAAGTTATCGTATTACTTCCTTTAAATTCCTAACTATGTCAGGTGCATTCATGCCACTCTCGGAAAAATGGTAGCAAATGGACTGCTTCCATTATCTTCCCAAGCACCTGGCCATAAAAACCATAGCATGGTCTGCAAATTTTCCCATTCTCCCTTCTCCACAATCAACAAAACCATCAATAGAGTCTGTTTTTTGATTGTAAGTAAGAGAGGTTTTCAGGTGCATCTCGTAAAACATTATGCTGCATTACCTGTCAGCTTCACGCATCTTCTGTACAGACAACTTCATTGCTTCAAGGATATGCCTGTTCTAAATGGAACCTGCAACTGTCTTCTGCAAAAGACGGTAGCCTCTAAAATAAGACAAATTCAATAAATATTAATTTGTAATTATAAATTTAATAATAATATTTAATTTTTGTGGTCGTTGAGTATTGGCAGCATAATGCTGAAGAGGATTCGTCCTGGACCAATACCGATGGTTCATGGAGTTATGCCTACCATGTTTAAAAAATGACGACTTAAAGGATATTTCGTGTAAATTTTTCATCCCGGTTCGCCATTTCTATAACGGTTTCACAAAATTCCATGCGAAGGTATGGATCATCAGGAAATTGCTCATTAGTACTCTTTAATTTGTATGGGTGATACCCATGCTTTCTTAAAATTTTGCCTACCATAGACCATGACAGATCGAACTGTTCGGCAACTTGTCTGGTTAACTGGGTTGGATCTTGTTCGATGCTTGCTCAAATTAAAGTGTCCCGTAATTCGCGTTCTTCATTTACTGGCTTTGCTTGCGGTTCCCTATTATGAACCCTATTAACACTGCCGAATGTTAAAAAATTATTTACAACATTTTGAATTGTTGCCCTTGCTGGTAAGGGTCTATTTGGGAACATATTTGGAAATAATCTTTGAATTTCTCGATCTGAGATCCCATTTAAATGCCACATTATAAATTGAATCTTTTCTTCAAGGGTGTAAACCATTTTTATTAGAGAATATTTCCTAATTTATAACAAATGTACTTCCGCTTACTTACAACACATTCTCTCGTCTGCGGTCGGGCGATGATCGACGCCTCGCGGTTAGGCCTTTCCCACCACTCTTACGTCTCTCCACCACTCCCACGTCTCATAATGTATTTGTCTTTATTTATTAAACGGCCTAACACATTACCATCCGTGTATAATGTTACCTGGTGCATCTAATGGCATAAACAACGGCAGTACTCGCGCCGGGTCCAGTAGACTTCAACTTAATGTGAAATAAAAACAATAATAGGTATTAACACACCGCTGCGCACAGCTGTACTAGATGCGATTGTCGAAAGCTGCATGGAATATCAGCCCTCAATAATATACTAACGTATATATAAGATTTGTATTTTAGTTTTTAATATTAACGTTTTATAAGAGACAAATACAATTCAGCTGCCCGTAAGCGAGTCTATGGGCTCAGAACCATCCTTTGCTTTTTTTTAATAAAATCGGCCCAACTCCACTAATTGTAACGCAGTTTTAAATAATGATGGGTTTAAGTAATACCAACCTGCTCGTTTTTTTTTATTATCTTTCATTATCGACCAAATTAATTTCATCCTCCACCAATGGAGACTTTGGAGACTGTTGATATTTTGCTTGAATCTCTTTAAATTGACGAGTACTTGAACTTTGCTTTTAAAACTGCACATTCCCTCTGTAGTTGTGTGTTATTGGATTATTAAGTAAAAAATTTAATACTTTAATACGCTCCAAAGGTAACTATGCTGTGTCTTAACTCTTTTACTTTCGAGGGGCAGCAAAGTTTTATCGGTTAAATAATCTTTATCAGAGTCTTCATTATCGGGTATTGCCTCATCACATGCAGCTCTTTTCTTCAAAGCTTTTTAAGTATGCCTTGGTTTTCAATTATATAGATAGACACATTGAGTTTTTCGGGTTGTTTTTTAACCATGTTCAAAGAACCTTAAGTTTCATCTCCACCTATTGTTTGAAATACATTTAAAATTATTTATTATTAAAAAAAAAAGTAATTTTTTAGGTTACCCCATCAATTTTTTTCGCTTCATGATATGTACGTTTGGCATCAACTTTTTTCTGGTCAATTTGATTGAAATATGGTTCTTTTCTTGATTATTTGGTGGTCTTTCAGATGGCTTTTTTGTCACAGCAATTTTTTTCCTTTAATGGGAGTAATGACAATTTACTCGATAAAATCTTTTTGCTTTAATTTATGTTTTCTTAAAGGTGTCTTCAGCAAAGGAAGTCGTCAAAAATGTTGGTAATTCTATTCTATTCTATGATGAATGAATGAAAACATATGTATCTTAAACTCGTATGCATACATGCACCTATCGTCTTTTTTCATTAAAAGAAAATCAAATAAGTAAGGTACAAAGCGTCCCATCTTTTAAACTACTGAATGATTGTAAACTGTGGCTAACCAGTTTTTTCACTAATAAAATTTCTCTATTCCAGCTCTTCAAGACTTCACAAATGCAGACAATGGGAGCTGCTATTATGGGCAGCACCTTCCATTCTTCTACCGCTCCAGCCAACGTCAAGATCGAACGAGGCGAAGGTGTCCAGCAGTGCGGTTGCCTTTGCGTTAAAATCCCCACAGACAACTTGATGCTCTGCACGTGCTTTGGCCGTCTCCTCCAGGCACCTTAGGAATGTCCCAAATTGTGCCGACTCTATATTTGGCGAGGCATATCCTACGATCAAGTATACTTCCTCAATCCATACGCTCAGCAGGCTCTCCTTTTTTTGTGAAATTCGCCAGCCTGTGCCCATGAAACGCTATGATGGCCAAGTCTCCTCGCAGGTCCGTGGCAGCGCCCATTGCTCTCGCCCTGGCTCTGTTAGGTTCTGTCACCACCAGAGTGTCGATTTCATGTCCCTCCGCAGTTTGTAGGGCCAAATCCCCCGCTGCACGGCTTCTGTTCTGATTTGCCTGCATAAATCTTATTCTGATGTCTCCCCGCTCATCTTTGTCCATCTCTACTACGCTGTTGCTATGTGCTGAGCGGGGGGCTGCTGAAAATCCTGCGTTTCCATAATCTGTCCTCGTCTGTCCCCGCAGCTGCTCGGGTCGCTGTGGGGATGGTGCACTAACTCGTCCTGTGTCCTTCATCGGGCATCTCGATGCCCGATGCCCAAGTTCCTGACCTGGTTCGAATCCCACCAGGGGTATGGATGTTTATTTGTGTTTGTTGGTTTCTGGGGCTTCTTAGGAAGTAAGAGTGGAACTAAAAGAGCACTTTGTTGCTCCCAGGGCTTCTCTCAGAGCCCCTTCTGCCTCCTCTTCCGTAGCCAGGGCGTCCATGCCGACCACCTCTGCACCTCCAGAGTCCCTGACGGCCCTAGCTCGCAAGCCTCTCCACCAGACCTGACTTCCCTCAGCGTCTCGTTATACCCCCTGTCTCTGGTACCTATCGTCACCATGCCTGGCTTTGATTTTTTCCCAGTGCGTTTTTGTTTCCTTTGGCCCTGTTCACTCGGTGGGCCTTCTTTGGCGCCTGTACCTTTTACCACGTCGCTCCAGGTGCCCTGCCTCGCTTCGCCTAGAAGTATAACCTCGAGCTTTACTTGCCCAATTGCCTCCATTAACTCTTTTTCAAGAGGTACACCCTGTATCATCCTCAAGGATACTCTGCAGGTGCCCTCGCTCCTTAGCATCTCCGCCAACCTAACAAGACAAGCTTGCCTCGCACACCTGCTTATCAGCGGCTCACTACCCTTTTCCTCCTGCATTAACAGCCAGGATGTAGTTGTAGTCTCCCCTACACTCTTGTCGCCCACGCTAGATGTTACCTTTTGTTTTACTGCGACCACCTGCCCTGGCTTCGGTATTTCGCCACCTGGGTATTCCTTTGAAAATGCCTGCGCCGTAGTCCAGAACCCTCTAGCTGTCCCCTCTGGCATTTTCTGTTTTATGGATACACACTGTAACATCAACTGTCTGCTCTCTTGTTGTCCAGTTGTCCCACTCGGTGCCTCTGCCTCCGTCTGAGTTTCCTGCTCCTCAGTCCTCTTTTTTTGCGCATAACTCCCGACATTTTCCTCCGTTTGTGATTCACCGTCGAAAATAATTTTTTGTGCATCCTCGTATCTATGTTTATTTAACCAGTCCCTAATTATCACCCTATTTAGTATCTCCACCTGTTCTTTAAGCGTTTCTGCGAGGTTCTTCATTTTTCTCTTTGTATTTTGCTCTACATTTCTCTCCAACTCCATGGACAACCTGGTTATTTCCTCGATAGCTTCTCTTATAACGTAAACTTCCGTGGACTCCTTTTACTTGTATATCTCTTCCTCCTGATCTCTAAGTGATGTATCACCCACTTTTCTTTTCCTAGTGCCACTGAAAGAGTAGCTTCTTGGAATGGCGCCAAATACCTTGTGAAAAGCAGGTGTCGCTGTTCTAGGTACCGACGTCTGCGTTTCCTCGTCCCACACCAGATCTATACTGTCCACTGAGTCTTTCCTATCTCCAGTGGTTTTCGCAGTATTTTTAACCTGGATCCGGGGCTGGTTTGCCCCCGGGGCCGTACAGTTGCTGATTGACGATCGGGTGGGGCCTGCACTGCCACTACCGTGCATTGCCACCACCATTCCCGACCGGCACTGAGGTATCCCTCCTCTGCACCGTAGACATTATATCCTTGGTAGACTTCATTTCTGGTTTTTTTAAATGGTTTTCTCCATCGCCTTTTATACCTGCGGCCAGGTTCGTACAGTTGGGGGTTGTCGGTCGGGCGGGGCCTGTTTGCTCACCCGAGACACCGATCGGACTTCATGCTTGGTTTTTTAAGATGGTGTCCCTCCATCGCGTTTTATACCTTAAGCCAGATGAGTGTTTTCTGGTCCGCGAGAGTTATTTGATTTGGCTCCTGCCACCCATATCTGGGAGGCGTTCCCGTATCTGCCACGATGGAGGAAACACACAAAACCCCGCACGGGAAACCTATCTGAACCTAAACTAACTAAAACTAACCATGGTTATTTATTTACAGGCCTTACAAAAAAATTAAACTCACCGGTGAGATTTGACGATAAACTAACCAAAAGTTCAAACGATAAACTAAACGAGAAACCGATAAGAAAGTCTTCCAAAATCGGAATTTCAATATTCACCGCTTCACCAAAACAAATTACTTTCATCTTTTCTATTAATTAATCCTAACCCACGGATATATTTGAATTTGATCCAAAATATGGTTTAATTTTAGAAATATGCCATACACCAGCATTAGTACCATCTGGATATTCCAGCTCAGGCGACTTTTTCTTAACTATATAAAGTTTGTATTTGCAGTCTAGTTTGGCACTAAAATCTTTGGAGGCATAACTAAGTACAAAATTCCGTTTCCAGACTTTTTCACCTGGTTTAAAGACAATATCCCGCTTTCGAAGATCAAAGCATTTGCATAGGCTATGGACATCTTACTCTTTACTTCAGAGTAAAGCTCTGAAAGTTTGGACAGTTTATCAACGTAGGATTTAATATTAGTTGACCCTAACTCTGAACCTGATATTTCGTAATTTCATGAATTTCCCTAACTGTGATTTTACAATTTCACACAACATAATGCATTATTGCGAGTTTTACAAAATTTGGCATTGTACATAGTGGTTTTGCCTCGAACTCTTTAATTAGCTTACTTTAGAAATACTTACATAAGCATGAATAATTATTGAGTCCGTGGATTCCTAAGTTGAAAATTTCCGGTGTTTATTTTTAATAATTTTTCTTCCTTTGAGAGGAACGAGTTTTGTTAATAAAGATATTTGTGCTACTGTCTTTGAACCTAAAAATAATGGTCTTTAATTTGGAAAAGATTCAAAATTATAATAAATATATATATATGTATATATATATATACAGGGTGAGTCGGGAGGAACGGACCAAACTTCAGGAGTGTATTATACACATTAAAATAATGTAAAAAAGCTCATATGTTCTTATCCGATTTTTATTTGTTTTCAAATTATAGCGTAAAACAAAAGTTAATACATTAACGTTATTTTAATCATAGCGTTTTTTAATAAATGTTCGAAAATAAAGCAAATGTAAACAAACTCATATGTTCTTATCAGATTTTTATTTGTTTTCAAATTATAGCGTAAAACAAAAGTTCATACGTTAACGTTATTTTAATCATAGCGTTCTTTTAATAAATGTTCAAAAATAAAGCCATTGACCTCTAAACACTTTTACTTTATACACCTCATAAACAGCCCCATAAACAATAGTCTAGTGGTGTGAGGTCTGGGGATCTTGGGGGCCAATTAATAGGATCACCGCGACCAATCCAACGGACGAAATGTGCAGGAGCTCCATCGTGCTGGTAGTATGTATGTACATTTGCATTCTGATGTTTGAAGTAACATCCTCTAGTAGTCCTTGTAACTCGTTTTGTAGAAAATTTAAGTAGTTATCTCCTGTGAGGCGATTCTCCAAGATGAAAGGGCCAATTAAATAATTATCGAGGATACCACACCACACGTTTACAGAAAACTTATGTTAAAAATTACTTTCGACTGTTGCGTGGGGATTTTCGTCTGACCATACATGAGAGTTACAAGTATTATTAATACCGTCACGAGTAAATGTTGCTTCATCCGTAAAAAGTATATGCGATACAACACGATGATTATTATTTATCCACCGACAAAAGTCCATGCGTTTAGCATAATCTAGGTAGGGATGTAATCCTTGCTCGTGGAGGGTGTTTATTACTCTTTTTTGTGGGATGGCCAATTGGGTAGCAATTCTTCGTGAGCTGGTCGTTTCATCTTCCTCTACTAAATCCTGAATATTTTCTACTTCTTCTAAACCTTGTCGAATAGCTCGTTCAGATGTTATGCTAGCACTAGGAAGCTTACCGGTCTCGCACAATTTGTTAAAAACTCTGATAAATACGTTTTTATTAGGATGTCTTTGATCTGGAAACCATTGACGATATTCTTCAACAGCAGCTGTAGCATTTCCATTACAGAAACTATAAACAAACACAATATTTGCAAATTTGAATAAGTGTTTGGCATTTTGTAATCATACAATTTCGAAAATGAACGTTCAATCACAGTTACAATAAATTGACACACTATCAAAACAACAAAGTCATAAAATATTTTTGAGCCTCAAACATGGCATACTCTGATTATGCGAAAATGTACATAATAAGTAGAACGCTAGATAAACATTTTTAATTACGCTATAATTTTTGGTCCGTTCCTCCCGACTCACCCTGTATATATACACACATGATCAAAATTGTTGCATATTTTTGTATTTTAATTTTCGCTTTGTATAACGTTCTGTTTTTTGTTGTTTTGAGATAAATTTTCATTTAATTGTATTTTTGTAGGAAATAATAAAAATAAAAGTTTCGGAACCAACCATCCTCCTCGAAGACGATAGTTCCGACGAGGATGATGACTTTTACAACAGTATTTAGATAAATAATTTATTGACAATAAAATGCATAGTGTACATTACAATTATAAACAATTTTGAGAAAATAATCACCTTCATTCTATAAATAAAATTTATATTTAAAAATTTTTTTCACCTAAATCGTTTCTAATAATTTTTAAAAATTATATTTAGTTTTATTTTTAATATATATACTTTAATATATAAAATTTTCTTTATTTTACGTATTATAACTATTAAATGAAAATTTATTCCAAAACAACAAAAAACAGAATGTTATACAAAGCGAAAATTAAAATACAGAAATATGCAACAATTTTGATCATGTGTGTATATATATTAGGGTGTTCCTTATTTAGGGGTCGGAAAAAATTTAACAGAGGCGCCCCCCAAATCGGTTCCAAATTATAAAAAAAAAATCCTGCAAAATTTTAGGTCAATCGGTCAAAGGGAACACGTGCCCCACAGGGGTTTTTTATAAATAATTGAGAAAATTCGGAAGGCTGATATAACTCCGAAACGGTCCATCGTAGGAAAAAAAAGTGTATATAAATTTTATATGTTTTTTTAGATAAACAACTTTCGTACACAGTCCTGCGTTAAAAAATTTATTCGGGGTCAAAACGCGATAAAACGCTTTTTTGTGTACTTTAGCGCTACCTACTTTTTGAATTTTCTGTCGTAAAGCATCGACCCAATGACATAAATTGTAGGGGACAATGCACCCTACATTTTTTGTTGACAAAATTTTTTTCTTAAACTAACCGATTTTGAAAAAAATTAAATCCAAAACTTTTTGAGTTTTCACTAAAAACACGTTGTGCTCCGAAACTACGAAACGGTTTATCGTAGGAAAAAAAAGTTAAAATATATTTTGTAGTTTTTTTCAAGCTAATCAACTTTCCTAATGCCTTTGTCACAATAGTGATAATGTTAATGGTAATGTTAATAAAGCATAGACAAATGCGTGTATCAACGTAACCATCAACATTACCATCATTGTGAACGGATACACGCATATTTCTATGCTTTGGGTATTAACATTAACATTACTATTAACATTAACACTATTGTGAGGTATAATAATAGTGCTGCGTTAAAAAAAAAAATCGAGTTCAAAAAGCGATACAACGCTTTTTTTGGTACTTTGGCCCTACCTACTTCTAAAATTTTTTGTTCTAGAGCATCGACTCATCAATAACATAAATTGTAGGGACTACATTTTTTGATTAAAATTTTTTTTCTAAATCTTATCGTTTTTGAGAAAAATAAAATATAAAAAAACAAAAATTGAGTTTTCTCCTTAATCCGGAGTAGGATAACGCAGTTGAGTATAGGCTTTTCTTATAAGGCCACAATGATTCACGCAAAAAAAATCTTGCAAAATTTAAGATTAATCCGTCAAAACTAACACTTACGCACTATAAGATTTAGAAAAAAAATTTTAATCAAAAAATGTAGTCCCTACAATTTATGTTATTGAGTCGATGCTCTAGAACAAAAAATTTCAGAAGTAGGTTGGGCCAAAGTCCCAAAAAAAGCGTTGTATCGCTTTTTGAACTCGATTTTTTTTAACGCAGCACTATTATTATACCTCACAATAGTGTTAATGTTAATAGTAATGTTAATGTTAATACCCAAAGCATAGAAATATGCGTGTATCCGTTCACAATGATGGTAATGTTGATGGTTACGTTGATACACGCATTTGTCTATGCTTTATTAACATTACCATTAACATTAACACTATTGTGACAAAGGCATTAGGAAAGTTGATTAGCTTGAAAAAAACTACAAAATATATTTTAACTTTTTTTTCCTACGATAAACCGTTTCGTAGTTTCGGAGCACAACGTGTTTTTAGTGAAAACTCAAAAAGTTTTGGATTTAATTTTTTTTCAAAATCGGTTAGTTTAAGAAAAAAAAATTGTCAACAAAAAATGTAGGGTGCATTGTCCCCTACAATTTATGTCATTGGGTCGATGCTCTAGGACAGAAAATTCAAAAAGTAGGTAGCGCTAAAGTACACAAAAAAGCGTTTTATCGCGTTTTGACCCCGAATAATTTTTTTTAACGCGCTACTGTTATTACGAAAGTTGTTTATCTAAAAAAAACACATAAAATTTATATACACTTTTTTTTTCCTACGATGGACCGTTTCGAAGTTATATCA